CAGCGCCCCACCCGTGGGGGCTCTATGGCCCCACCTCCCCCCTCTGGAGGGGGGGGGCGGAAGGGGGTAGGCAGGAGCCAGTGCTGGGGGGAGCCAGCTTAAAAGGCAGTCCCCCTCACACCATCTCCACGGGGGACAGAGGAGGTAGAGGCACAGCAGGAAATGGCACAAGTCTTTGCTTGCACTGCTTCTGCTGCAATTCTGCTTTTGAAATGTACAAGAGCCCCATTTCAAAGGCTTATGTGCTGCAGGCAGCGCAGGGCCGTGCTCCATGTGGGGCTTCCACTTTTGAACTGTAGCAAGAGCCCGGCAGGGCTGTTGCTACAGTTCAAAGGCAGAGGTGCCCTTATAGACTAATCGAATAGTCAATGGAAATCCCATCGATTAATCCATTAGTTAATTAATCTAATGTAACATCCCTAACCCAAACCCTTCTAAAGATCTGGACCTCTCTGCTTCTGCTCTGGAGCAGCTCCTTTTGGAAGTTTGGCCTGAGATCACAGCATATGTCACCAGATTGGCTGCTTGTCAAGTGCCCCCTCATGGCCAGAGATCACTCTGCCTGGGGCCTGCCTCAGTTTCCATCGTCAAGAAGCTTCCTAAATAAGCCCCCCCGGCCCAAAGGTTTTCATGAATCCAATAAAAACAGCCATTCTTAGTGTCTAGCTTATTAAAGTTAAAGATAAATACAAAAATCTCCTCCTCCCCCAGGAGTCCCAGGGTCCTTCCAACCTTACCTGGTTATTCTCAGCTCTTCCTTGCTGGAGGAACATGCTAGTCTCAAGACTCTTGAAGAAGCCTTGTACACTCTGCACAACTTCCTGAGCATTCCCCGACCTGGAGTCCACTTCTCCATACCCAGCTGGGCTCATTGGACAGGGGCTGGCCAGCTCCAGGCTTCCAACCCTCTGGGCACAGGCCACCCCACCAGAGTTTGGCTCAAGAGCTGACATTTCAAATTGCTTTAACAGCCACACGCATATTCAGATTTTTTTATTTTGAAAATTGCTATATCTTGCCAGGATTATTTTGAAAATTGCTATATCTTGCCAGAGCCAGGAGCAGAATGAGTAGTGGCAGGCAGTGGTGAGTTAGCCCAGTAGGTTTTTAAGCACAGCTTCCTCAACAAGGAGCTTATTTGAATATTCAAATTACTCTAAATCCCATGTGTGTAGGGAGATTATCTTGAAAACTGGTATGTCACAATTTAGAGGCTGAAGTAGGTCTTTGATTTCAGGATCAACGTTGGGGTCATTTGGTGAAGGGGCTCCCATGACAGCCCCTCTATACTGAGCTGATCATACCACTTTCAGAGCCTTATCGTTTTTTCGGTAAGGGAAAATTCACAGCCCAACCTTAACCTCAGCACAAAGATTTTTGGGTAGTGATTAATAACTGGTTGAATTCCTACCCTGCAGAGTCTTTCCTAGACCTAAGTAATAGCCACTTTCAGCCTCTAGACAGCTATATGTAAGGATGCCAGCTGTAATGCAGAACTACTTAAAACAGGCTTTGTTGCTTAGCGTATTCATAAGCTGATGAGATACCAGTTTATGTATGTGTTAGTGGATTTTAAAATGGCACTTTCCGGCCTCCGGATTTCATTTCCCACCAGGTTTTTTGTCAAATCCACTTCTCTCCAAAGAGTGCTGCAATAACTGTAGGAGTATGGGGCAGTGGGATTAGCATCCCTATACTGCCTAAGCGTGTAGCTAATGCACAGTTAAAATCTCTCTCCCGCTATTGCTGCAAGTGGGAGCTCCATTCACTCTGCTGATATTAGCATACATTGGCCATCATGATTAATGAAGCATTTAATTATGGAATCATAAAAGTTATAGATGGAAAAGGTCTATAAAAGCTTAACTCTTCATGACTCAATGGCACATCCACAGGGCCTGATTCTCCCCTCCTGGTGATGTTACTCAGGAGTCACTGCACTGAAGCCAATGGAGTGAGACCCCTGTAGTCAGGGTGATATTCACTCCTGTGCCCTGAGCCAAGGGGGGCAGGCTGTGGATATGCCTGGGGCTGGCCTTGTGCTCAGAGGTGAAAATCACACTCAGTGAGAAAAAGGAAGGGTCTTTATCTGCCAAAATGTGAGCTATGGTAAATCATGGTCAGGTAAATGCCACAGATATTCGAGTATGACCCTTTTTAGATGCACATTCCAGCACCAGATCCATTCTCACTCCCCAACCCCACCCTTATCACCACCACGGTATTCCCAGGGCCAGATCTTTCAATCCTTCTTCCTTGACTCCAGGGCTGTGTCTAGGCTGGCAAGTTTTTCTGAACTCCAGGGCTGTGTCTAGGCTTGCAAGTTTTTCCGCAAAAGCACCTGCTTTTGCGGAAAAACTTGCCAGCTGTCTACAGTGGCCGCTTGAATTTCCGCAAGAACACTGATGATCTCATGTAAGAAATCAGTGCTTCTTGAGGAAATACTATGCTGCTCCTGTTCAGGCAAAAGTCCTTTGCACAAAAGCTTTTGCGCAAAAGGGCCAGTGTAGACAGCTCAGATTTGTTTTGCGCAAAAAAGGCCTGATGGCGAAAATGGCAATTGGGGCTTTTTTGCGGAAAAACGCGTCTAGATTGGCCACGGACGCTTTTCCGCAAAAAGTGCTTTTGTGGAAAAGCGTCCGTGCCAATCTAGACGCTCTTTTCCGCAAATGCTTTTAACAGAAAACTTTTCCATTAAAAGCATTTGCGGAAAATCATGCCAGTCTAGACGTAGCCCAGGGGTAATTTGGCCAGAATAAGGATTGACTGCAGGACTTGGCCCAGAGAGGGTGACCAGAGAATCTGCCTTCCCAACAGCAGTAGAGACCTGAGGACAAAGATAAATAAGAGAATTTTATTGCCCATTGAGAAGGGTTTGTAATAGGCAGCTTGGCTGATGTACAGGGTTTTAGGATTTGCTTCTTGCTGAATGAGCATTTCTTTCTTTGCATAGCCACACAGTACACAAAGTGTTAGGAACAGTGCAGGCAGTACTCCCTTATCAGCAGTTATCCTGCCTTTTCTTAACATGAAATATTAATCCATTCAAGTGGATAAATATTAATAGCTTTTTGGCAGAGAATCCAAAAGGGCCAGAAGAGGAGTTTGCCTTTTGCTGTTTTTCAGACAGCTCTGAGAGGAGGTCTTAGCATTATACAGTCACCTCCCCTCTTCCCACAATATTCTCCAACAATACTACTGGTGCAGGGGTGGGATTTTACAGCAGAAGGGAGGAAGGCTTTCCAGATCTCTCCCTGAGAACAGACGACCTGCATTTTAGTCCTTTGACCCACAATTTGGTGCTGGCAAAAGATACCAAATTCCAGAGCCAACCTAAGGTGTCTGTGGCTCCCAGAGCTGTCCTCTCCCCTCCCACCCCCCACTCCATGCCATTTAGTGTATAGGAGAGGATCTCTTCTCTCAAGTTTCTCAGTCTTTTCCTTGCAAAGTGCTCTGACAACTTAATTGATGGAACCCGGTAACTATGGATGAAAGCTCGCCACAGACTTTTCACTTAAAGATCAGAGGTTACATTTTGGCTCCTCTACAGACACCCAGGGCTGGTCCACTGGCTTCATGAATACCTGAGCTACAGATCACTCAATTTTAGAGAGAATCTTCTAGTAGCTCTTGGTTGTTGGGGGCTCTGGCATCCCAGCAGGCCACCGGAGCTGCCACAGCTCCACTATCCCAGGGCTCCTGCAGCCAACCCCATGGCCTCCCTGGCTTCTGGTCCAGAGTCTCTCTGGTTTAGCAATATCTGTGGTCCTGCTGGAACATGGATGTTGTCGAACCAGAGAGTCCCAGACAAGAAAGGTTCAACCTGCATTTTAAAATTAGCATTACTCCCTGAGAAAAGCAGGAGTACAGATTTCAAAATGAGCAGCCTCTTATTTTGAAATAACGGTGGATGCTCCACTTATAAATTCAACCAAAGGGAGGTTATTTCGAAATAAAGCCCTAGTGTAGACCAGCGCTGCCTGTTTTGCCATTGAATTCAACAAGCCAGGATTTCACCTGAGGGACATAGCAACATTCCTGAATGAGCACTGAGCCCTCCAGTAGCTGGAAACGAAGAGGCTCCCAGAGTCCTGCCTTCTTTGGATAATTGTCTCTCGAAAACTTTCTGCCCTGTTGGCTACTAGGTAATTGGCCAGGACAAACAGCTGGGTTCCATGTCTGCAGCAGGAGGCTGGGGTAACCTTATGATTTCCACCTTCAACACCCACAAGACAAATTCTCCATATGTCAGAAGTCAGATGAGTTGGAGTGCACCCCAAAGAAACCTCTCTCTACCTCTTCTGCAAACCCTCCATCCTGCATTGTGCACTCTGGTGAAACCATGATTGCACTGGGAAGGGGAGGCACTAAAAATTTTCACCAACTTAGTCCCAAAACGCTCTGGCTAATTTTGTCAAATCTACACTCCTAGAAGGAATTATTCTGCCACAAAGCAGGTAGAGGACAGCTGGTGGTAGTGTAGTTTCCTTTACACCACACCTCCAGTGTGCCTCCATTAATCTGGAGAGACCACCTTTAAAGCACTACATTCTTTATGGCCCATTCCAGCCTCAGCCTCTCAAGCTGACTAAGGATTGGTAATACAGGCTTCTTTCTCTGAGAAACCAGTCATAAACTCCATGTGACTTGGGACACCAAAGAGCCCTCAGATGGGAGCCAGTTTTCAGTTGTTTTCAAAAATACAAACTTTGCCTGGATTTGAACCTCTGACCTAGAGTTAAAGGCCAGTTCCCCGAGTCATCCTGTGTGTGTGGGACCCTGGAGTTGGATAGAATATTAAGCCCCTTCCTTGTTGTGCTCCCAATCCTCTCCCAGAGACATAACAGTACAGAAAACAGGAATTAATAGCAATCTCTAACCAAGAGTTAAAAGAAAATGGAAGAAAAATAAATACCAGTTACTAATATCTCAAGTAAATTCCATTTGACCCTACTGTACTGGAGCTACAGAATTCCCTTTTGTCCCATCACCATTCAGTCACAATTTATCATTCCAGTGTTGTTTCTAAGCCTCTATGTGTATTTCTTTTTGCCCAGAAGCAAGACACTTGAGGCAAACACGTTTCCCCTTTGATTGCTTTATAAGAGCAATGTCTTTGGTTCTAACCTTCCCAATCTTGTCAGATGTTATAATGACCCACAGGAAATGGCCCCATATCTTGCTATAGTGCTCCAGGGACAGTCATCATTGAATCCCCACAAGTTCAGTTATTGGGGGTGCATTGACCATCAGTTCCTCGTAATTTTGTAAGAACAGCCGTAGTCGGGACATATAGGAGTCCTCATTGTATGGCAACTTCTTCTTTTTCAGATACTGGGAGACTATGGGTTTGATCTAAAAGGGAAAAAATATTACAATGACACCGTAAGTTCTAATGATGATGGTGATGCCTTACATTTTTACAGGACCTTCCATCCAGAGCAATCATTGAAAACTATGCATGTTGGCATCATATTGCCTACTGTCAAAATGCAGCCAACTCCGGGGTGCAACAAGAAAACTATTTAACAGTACCTAATATTATATAATGGCTTACATCAGGGAATGAAGATGAATATAATATCGAGCTCGAGCAGCAACAGGAATTTAGACTGACAATATATTTATATGAGTTGGAATAAGGGCAGGATATTGAAAAGCTGACATCCTTTTGTCATAATAAGGGCTGGATGACCACAAGCGCTCACTACTTTGCTCTTGCATCTAGGATCTCCTGCATCCTTCCCTCATATCACACTGGGGCACTGGTTCAGAAGGTAGAATGCTTACTGAATTAACATCATCTTTTGCAGCCCCTGAAGGTTTGTTTTTTGAGGCATATGAAATATGACAAAGACACTGCTTTGAGTTAATATCATAGCAGCAGCATGTCTTTATTGTTACTAGCATCATAAGTATTCATGGGACTGTAAAATAAGTAAAGGGTTTCAAACAAATACAGCCTGGACTGAAAAATACAGATCCACATCTCAACTAACCCAAAAATTCAGGGTGTTGGATGTAGGGGTTTGATTGGAGTCTACACCTAATACATTGCTAGTGGAGAATGAAGGCAGTACAGCCAGGTGTTTGATGATTCTAGCAGGAATTAGTCACAGTTTAGGTGTGGTCTGAAAAGCTTTCCCAGGAGGAGAGCAGGGACTTTGCTAAACACTCTCTGGAAAGCTGTTGTAATAATAAAGCACAAAGTCAAGCATGGAGGAAGGAGACCATGGAAGAAGGTTGAAGAGAAGGTAGGGTAGAGTGTGTGGAGAAGGAAGTGGAGTGTGAGGAAATGAGGACAGAGATGCAGTTAGAATTGGCATTATGGAGTGTTCTGAAAATGTGAAGGGGTTTAAAATTAATGATGAGGGAAAGCCTGAGCAAGAATGGAACACAGAAGCGTGCTCAGACCTGCAAGGTAGGGAGAGAGGCTTCACACCTCCATTTTGAGTTAAGTGGAAGGGGAATCACACAAACTTATCTCCTCATTATTTCCTCCCATGAGCATCAATTTTCTCCTCTATGTTAAACGTCACTTTCCCTCCTGCCAGGCCCTCCTTTTCTCTCTCACCTTCAGGCACATGTTGTCAGAGAGGTTTGGGAAGAGATGATGTTCTACATGGCAGCTGATGATTGAGTGCCCAAAGGACCAATCCAGTAGGGCATTGCGGGGCAGATTCAGAACTGCAAGACTCATCAGGTGAATCCGCTTGGGCTTCTTATCAACAGAGAACATCGGGAGGCCAATGTGCTACAAGACAAAAATAAAAAACGTGGCATCACTTTCTTCAGCAGGCAGATAGGGTGCATGGCTTCCTGAGGACAAGGGTGGAATCCAGCTATGTCAGGCCAGGGTGGAATGATGGCTGTTTCTCCAGCTCCTCATCTTTTTCTGTACATGATCTTGTGAGTCTCCTTCTTTATGGGGTTGAGAAGTCCTCATAACAGGTAACAGGCTAGTGCCATCAACTGGAATGCTCTAAGGGTATGTCTACACTACCCCGCTAGTTCGAACTAGCGGGGTACCCGGGATTTGAATTTCCCGGGCTTCATTTGCATAAAGCCGGGCGCGCCATTTTTAAATGTCCGCTAGTGCGGACTCTGTGCCGCACGGCTACACGCGGCACGGACTAGGTAGTTCACGAGTAGTAATGGTAGTTCAGACTAGGAAACCTAGTCCGAACTACCTAGTTCGTGCCGCGTGTAGACGCGCGGCACAGGGTTCGAATGAGCAGGGATTTAAAAATGGCGGCGCCCAGTTTATGCAAATGAAGCCCAGGAAATTCAAATCCCGGGCTTCATTTGCAAGTGTGGTATGCGTACATTACCCCGCTAGTTCGAACTAGTGGGGTAGTGTAGACATACCCTAATTTCCCACTCACACCTTACAGGTCAAGTCTGTTGTGGGAGCACTAGCACTCACACACTGCTCCCCACATATTATCTCAAGGCCAGCTCTATTCGTGGCAAATCAAAAAGAAGCCTCTGTCCCAGAGTCAAATGACACGACAAGAGTTTGGAAACCCTGTGACTTCAGAGGAGTTCCTATGTAAATGTGATCGGAATCTGGCCATTTTATCTTAGGCCTGTTGAAAATGATCAGTGACTCTCCAATGGGTAAGAACCAACTATTCTTGTTCCATCCTTCCCAAAGGCACCTGGCTTTTAAAGTAACATCTCTTAGGCTATGTCTAGACTGCAGGCTTCTTTCGAAAGAGGCTCTTTCGAAAGCATCTTTCGAAAGAGCCTCTTTCGAAAGAAGCCTGCAGTCTAGACATAGCCTAAGAGA